GTACTGAAATGCACAAAGTTTGCTTGCCCCCAATTTACTATGCAATCTGGATTCCTCTGTATCATTGACCTGCCCTCTTCTTTATTCATGACTTTCTCCAATCTTTATGTTATCTGCAAATGTTATATATGATTATTTTAAATTTTCTTCTGGGTTGTTAACAAAAATATTAAGCAGCATTGGGCCAAGAACCAATTCCTGCAGGACCCCACTAAAAACCTGACTTCTCACTAGAATCATGTCCATTTTTGTGCAAAGATAATTGAACATGAATTTCAGACATATTACAGGCCTGTACGCAGGGGGAGTGTGAAGGGTACAAATGCACCCTTATTATCCTCCAAGTAAGCATGAGGCTGGGGCAGTACATTGCCCTAACCTCCCTCCCCCTCTGTTCCAGTCAGCTGGGGTAAGGGAAAAGAGGCGCATTGTCCCAGCCTCCCTCCCTAGTGCTCTGGCCAGCCAGGAGAAGGCAAGGGCTGATACCCTCGCCCCACAGGAGCAGGGCCTTGGCTGGCCTGGGCACCAGGGGTGGGGCAGCCACCAGCCCCTCCAATGGATTACATCCCCCCACACACAGAAATTCCTGCATACAGGCCTGTATTATGTGGGCTTTTTATAAAATATTAATTAGCATGGCAATTTTATTCTTACTGTGTTAGCATAATTTATTATCAACTATTTTTTCTCTCCCTTGCCTGTCAACATCTCTTCACTGAAATAATGACTATAGAAAAAAAGAATGGAGAGATGCAGAATGCCTTATTTTATTGTCAGCATAACTTTCTACTTCTCTTTTTAACTTCTGATGTAATTACCTTTTCGCAGTTTCTCTGGGATGTATATATTATCCTCTTATTTGAACTATTTCACTTCAATTGCAGTCAGTGGGCTTGCCAGAGTGCAGCTGACAAGAGAACGGTACCAAATGGCTTGTATATTTTTTCTGCAGTTGGCTACCTAGTGAAATAAAAACAAAAACTGATTACTTAATTCTATAATAGCACAATCAGACTTTTGCTACTGTGTTGTTATACCTGAAAACCATGCACATAGCGAGTCTATGCTAAATATCCATTATTTTTTTTACTAATCTTCACTCTTTAACCCTTGCCACTTCTTTGTTTCACTAACTTATTATTACTTGTCTTTTAGGCTTTCATTTTACATAGCTTGCAGGTGGACTGCTTAGCCCTTACAACACAGGATCAAGGCCTTCAATTGTAATCTCCTTGGGGTAATCTCTTTTATTATATAAATGTACAGTGCTTAATACAATGGGACAGAGCTTGTTTTAGTTCCCTAATTGTTACTTGGATGTAAGTAATAAAAATAACATTTTACTAGCTACAGGATAAAACATGCCCTCATGAATTATACTTATGACATTTCTTGCAAAGAAATATATGTGTACATGAATAGATATTTTTCTACGTATTGGCTAGTTTAGATATTTTCCAAACTGTAAAGGCAAAAAATCTGCATGATGGATTTATTCTAAATTTCACTTTTATCCAAGCACAAAATAGTTTCAGACTTTTTTCGTTAGTTTGTTTTCTTGTGTACTCTCCAATTCAAATACACAAATAGGATTTTGTTTGCTTGTTTAAATGTTAAAATATCACTCTCAAATTAAGATATGCCAAATTTGTGTGTCAGTGAATTTTTAGAGTAGAGTTCTAAGTTCCTGAGATTGGAGAGATAGACTGCACATAACTGTGCTAAAGTTAAATGTAGTATGGCATTTGACACATATTACCAGACATAATGACTGTGGGTTTGATTGTCCTCCAAATATATACTCGAAGGAATTTTTTATATGCACATTTTCCCTGGACCATGTGAAGTGAAGTGCAGTGGGGCCAGTCATTTCAGTGAAGCTTACTACCCCCTTCCCAGAGCTCTGTAGTGCCCTTTCATGTAACAACACGATATGAGCACCGAGCAGAGTATCCCAAATAGAGATTAGGCAGGGACCAGAGTGGATTGTGTGACTGTGTAAAATTTGTATGACTCCCTTCCCTCCCCTCCCTCCTCCAAAACTGGGCACCTAACCACTACGTAATGTAGTTGTACACTTTATTTCTTTTTGTATTGAGACTATCCATCATGTAAAGAACACCCTCCTTTTCCCCAGAGTTTCCAAAGGAATTCCCTGATAGAATGGTTGCTTTCTCAAAAACTATGTGGCATGGAAAGCTTTTTCAATTGATCCTGATCTCTGGCAACTGCTAGTTTGGAGGCTGCAGGCCCTGATGTTATGCTTAAAAGAAGCACACGGAACCATTTTCAGGGGGGCAAGACAACATACCACATTTACTGATAATATAACAAAGTAGCATATGCATTTACACACATACACACACGTCCTGCTGATGGAATAGTTACCAGTCTGTTGCTCAACCCAATTTATTGATGAGATAAATTGAGTACAGGGAAGGAGCTGGGTTCTTGTCAGTCCGAACTGATCCTCTATGGTCGTAGCAGGACAGAACCCAAAGAACACCCCATCCTTTATAAGATTTTTCTTCCATATGAGTTTATGCATTTTGCCTTGTGAGGCCTTAATCAGTTATTCAGCATCACAATCAGTTTTTCTGTGACATATGTTTATCTGGAGGTTGTTCTCGCGGTCATCTGATATCAGTATCCCTATCAAGGGGTGCTTGCCACTAACTTCAGGGTTCATCAATCTGCTTCAGTTCAGTCTGCATGCTTCTGAGTGTCCGGCCCCTCCCTGACCATTTGGGCATTCAGTAGCCTTCACACTTCTCTTTCCTAAAACATTCTCTCTCTCATTCACACAAACAATACATTTACAACACAATTGCAGCACAGAACAAAGGGTACTTCTAGTCACTTTAACAAAGTTACAAAGTCTTTCAACATTAAACTTCTTTCTATCTATTACAAGTCCTTACCTAATATTAACATCACTATGTAGTAAAATATTCCATCCCTTCACTTTAACATCAGAACATGCTAACATCAAACAGAGCTGGAGCTAAGTTAACAAAGCCGCCTGGCCTGTCTGAGGTCTACATCTTGTGTTTAAATTTAATCCAAACCTTATGCAATAATATACATTAATTATAATTAAATAACTTATTACCTACAAAAATTACAAGGCTACGTTAATTCTTCTACAGAAAGGAGAGACTAACAGAACCTAATAGAAAAATCAACAGGAAAACATCAGTTTTTCTTTCCAGAAAGGGTATTTTTTCTAAAGATGGGGCAATTGCCAATACCCTTATTGTTTGTGATATGAACTGTGCACTAAAAATGCATTCACTATTCACCATTCATTGGCAATTTTTTTGCGAAGGATGTATTAAAATATTGTATTTTGTATTACAATGTATTAAAATGTATTAAGATACATTTCAGGGCCGCTTATGGCAAACTGAAATGTGTTCACTTATAGTTCACTGTAAATTTATCTATCGGTGGTAAAGTGTGAATTCTGGAAAATAAATGTGGAAGCTCGTTAAATTTGGTTATTTGAGAATTTGATAAGCATTTATAAATATAAACACTTCATTAGCCACTTAACTGTATTAGTGTGACCATTAAAAACAGGTTTTCCAGCTACAGGAGCTGGAGACAAAGCCAACATTCATTCAGGTGAGATCTGCATGAGGATAGAATAAAAAAACAAGCTAACTCAAATAAAATTCTTTATTTTTAACCTCTGCTTTCAATCTTATCTTTCCTATTGTTATGTAGAAAGATGTTTGTGGAGGTTTATCTCACTTTTTTAAATTATTATTCATACCTTCCAAAAAACAGTCCAAAGTTAAGCACCCAAATCCATGTTTTAATTTACAGGCTGAGGTAGGAGCTCAGCATCTGGGATTTTAAATCAGGACACTCATTCAAGTGCGGACATTTGGAGTGAAGTGCCCAGTTATTGGCATCCAGGTTTGATAACGTTGTCCAGGAGGTTTGAGTGAAGGCTTAGGGTTTTCCAAGCAACCTAAGGGGATTCGGCTCCAGCGCTATTAGGGACCCAACACCCTTAAGCTTCTCTTGAGAGCCTAAGTGATTAACCAAAACGAATCATGCGTGGAAGCCAGTGACCTTTCCTTTCTCTCGCTGCCCAAAGTTTGACGGATCCCCACC